ATATTAGTTCAGCTACAATTATATAATTTCCTCCTCCAGCTTTGTTTCATAAAAAGTTCATTTATCAGAACCGTCTTTAAATAAAACTCACTGACGTTTTCTTTTCTAAAGTAATTAATATGCAGTAAGACTACACAGAAAACAAACTATTATGTACTGATGCAAAACCAAAGAACAGTGTTAGATTTTCTGCATTTGTTGCAAGTGAAGAGGGCCTTACCTTTTTCTGGTACCACACCACAGCATCTTTAACTTTGGAAGCCATTTACATTTCCCTTCTCCCCCTCAGGGCATCTTAGACTGAAAACACAGAGTGAGACACAGGAGAGGGCAGTGAGTGACGAAACAACGAGGAGGCTGAGATCTGCACCTGGGGAGGCGTGTCCTCTGATGGGACAAAGAAGAGCGAGGAGAGCACAGATGTCTAATTATTTTCATCTTAAAACGACAGTCACCGAGGTGATGGACGTAATTTGTAGCGCTTGAACACAAACAGCTAACGCAGTCTTGAGATCGAACAAATGCCCTCAAAATGAAGCAACAGACGAGACAAAAACAAACAGTAAAGCAAGTATCAGACTTATTCACATTTCTAAGTCATCACCTTCGAGAACAATATGAAAACAGACTGCTTAAACATTCAAATGTTTAATTTATTATTCACAAGCAGAAAGAAAGAGGTAAAAACCAAAGTTGTTATCGATGCTACTTCAGGCTTGAAATGTGTCAGCATGATTTAACATTTTTACTAGTTTCTCAGGAGATATATGTTTTCAGTAGATATAGTCGATAAGAGCTCAACAGCACCGGTGCAAATGATAAGCATTTATTTTAAAGTTTCAGTCATTTAAAAACCATCTGAACTTCGAGCATGTGTGGCATTGCTTCTGGGAAGTTTATTTTCAAGGTGCATCTGAAGTTTGAGTCAGTGGAGGTYGAAGGTGTAAATTAGATTAATAGAAAGCTGTAAAGTTAATTCATGAAGGCTTTGTGGTGAGCCACTATCTTTTCTCTGCTCTTTGTTTYAACCTCTCTTCCTTCCTCCTCTACATTTACTTTTTTATGTTTTTGTTACATAAGAGGGACATTTTTTAACATAAATATGAGTTTTTTTTGTTCCTTTCATTCTTCTGTATTAGGTTACTAT